TCAACAAAGCCTTCAGATGTGCTGCGCTCTGGGGGAAAAAAAACACTCCTTTGATGCCTTAAGATGTAGAGAAATATCAAAATCATTTGTTAACTGAACTCTCCAATATATAGTCCCTCGCCAGCCTCAAGAAACTTCCCAGCAAGTAGAAATCAAGAGAACAGGAAATAACTGCATTTTAGACCCACACATGTGCATCCCCTCTCTTCTGGGGCTGGCCCTGGAGCTGGTCCAGCCTACAAGAGAAAGTAGCCCAGAGCCAGAGACAACCTGGTAGGCACTGATGCCGGGCCCCATCTGGGCACTTCACCCTCACAGTCACCCCTGGTGTAGGGTAGGAAGTGCAGATGTACAGAGGTCAGGCAGCATGGCCCAGAGCAGCCTGATGGTGTAGACAGTAGGCGAGCTAGGGTTCACGTCCAGCTCTGCTCCATCTTTCCACACGTTTCACTATCTCCAAGGCAATTTTCAGACCAGGATACACACCTATAGGGGTTCTCAAAGATGCAGCAAGAGGTAAAAGGAGTACCTATTTCACAGTGAAACCAGTCGTTTTTTAAAAAATGAATTGTTCAGATGCCCAGCCTCCATGTGTTCTCCAAGTGCTCTGCCCAGTGTGAAACTGCCTTCCCTCCAGCCCTCTTCATTTGCCCTCTGCTGCATCGCCCCCAAGATGCCCCCCATCTGACCCAGAACCTGTAGTTCCTCCAAGGGTGTCCAGGTTAGAAGCAAATTAAAACTATTACTGTCCTCAAAGCCCCATTTAATGAAAGCCCTAAAGACCACTCATTCTCAATAAGAGATGTATTTCCAATACAATTTCAGGTTGTTACCAAAATGTGTGAAATGTTTGTTGTATTAATAATGCATTTTATACTAATAATTATGCAGATTCAATTCTGAAGAAAATTTAAACTTTTAGAGCTTTATGAACACAAAGTGTTTAAAAATTTAATTTCAAAGTATATACTTTTTTTTGCAGTGAAGTGTGATCAATAAAAGACTTTAAAGAATAAAAACATTAGGTCCTGAGTGGTGTGGCTTAGTTGGTTGGGCATTGTCCCACAAAGCGAAAGGTCACCGGTCCCACTTTCTGTCAGGGCACGTGCCTGGGTTGTGGGTTCAGTCCGTGGTTGGGTCGGATAGCAGAGGCAGGTCAGTGTTACTCTCTCACATTGATGTTTCTCTCCCTCTCTCCCATCCCCTCTTGAAAGAGAGGGAAGGAGGGAGAAAGGAAGGAAAGAAAGAGGAGAGAAAAGAATAGAACATTAGGGTAAGTTCTTCGAGGGAAGTACAATGGCAATATATAATTTCAGACAAGATCTCATCCCCCACCAACTAGTGTAACTCAGTGGATTTGGCATCGTCCTGCAAAAGTCTGGTTCAGTTCCCGGTCAGGGCACATGCCTGGGTTGCAGGCCAGGTCCCTGTTTGGGAGCATGTGAGAGGCCGCCAGTCCATCAGTGTTTCCCTATCTTCCCCTCTGTTTGGAAGTAAATAAAATCTTTCCCCTGTTTTTTAAATGGATAACAGCTCTTGTGCCAGATCTGAGGAGGGGGCCTGGACCACACTGATGATGAGGCAGACACAGGTTTTTAAATAAATTCCATGGTTTGGTTAGTTTTACCTTTCTGACACTTTCAACCCACCTACATTTGCGCTTCGTTTTATTTGAGAGACCTCTGTAAATAGCTTAGATTCTTCTCCTACCTGCCTGCAGCAGGGCATGTTAAATCCAGCCTGTGAATAAATCTGTTTCACAAAAGCTCCCCTCAGATATGTTGACTTTCTCACTTCCCATTCTTAAGACATAATATTGCTTTAAAAGGTCAAACAGTAAAGAAATCTCAGGAGCCTCAGACAAAATTGTTTTAAATTTCCATGTGGATCAAACAGTAAAGTTGCGAGGTGGAGGGTGACTAAGTGTCTAAACAGAAACAGGCAGACCCAAGCAGGCTGTGCTCAGAGACAACCCTGAACAGCAGGCCTAGCCTGGAGACATTAACTAGAACTTGGTTAGAGCTGGGGACACAGGTCCAGAGGGCCAAGGGGACACTGGGCTAATTGGGAAGGACACAGACCGCAATCCAGACACACGCCAGAGGCTGGGACCCTGCTGACGTGGCAGCCCTCTGCCCTGGCCCCTTACTGCCCCCCGCCCCTCTCCCCCGCCTGCCAGCTGCCAACAGGGCTCTGCCCTGTGTCTGCCACACCTGTCACTGCCTGTCCTTGTCCAGGGGGGCCCCATCAGCCCCTCCTCAGCTGCCCAGCAGAGCAAGCGGTTAGTGGGGAGGGGAGGGAACATGGAGCGGGGGCCAGTAGTGGGGGCAGGGCCAGGGGCCAGGGCCCGAGTCCGGGCACTGCTGGGCTGCCTGGTCAAGGTGCTGCTCTGGGTGGCCTCTGCCTTGCTGTACTTTGGGAGCGAACAGGCTGCCCGCCTCTTGGGCAGCCCCTGCTTACGGCGCCTGTACCATGCCTGGTTGGCAGCAGTGGTCATCTTTGGGCCCCTTCTGCAATTCCATGTCAACCCTCGGACTATCTTCGCCAGCCACGGCAACTTCTTCAATATGTGAGTCCGCCGGAGGCCATGGGTGCCTCTCCCTGCACTCTGGGATCCTAGCTCCCTCCAGGCTTCTGTCCTCCTGCCAGTCCAAACACTAAAAATAGGCCAGGAGGCTGAGGAGAAGGTCAGAGGCGGGGGAGGGGGTGGCATCGTGGGGGTACGGAGGAAGTGGGAGCAGGGCTGAAGAGGAAATATGGACCCTACAAGGCCTAATGGGCCTATAAATGAATGGGGGTGGGAGGTATGAGACCCAAGAAATAGACAGCCAGTGATGAAATGTAGGACTGGGGACAGCAGTGATGGGAACACAGACTGGACAGGGGAGATTGGGCTGAGGGTTCTCAGTAGCCTCCCCTCTTTTCTGCCCACAGAAAGTTTGTCAATTCGGCATGGGGCTGGACATGCACCTTCCTGGGGGGCTTCGTGTTGCTGGTGGTGTTCCTGGCTACACGGAGTGTGGCTGTAACTGCCCGGCACCTGAGCCGACTGGTGGTGGGGGCGGCTGTGTGGCGGGGGGCTGGCCGCGCCTTCCTGCTCATCGAGGACCTGACCGGCTCCTGCTTCGAGCCTCTGCCCCAGGGCCTGCTGCTCCATGAGCTGCCTGACCGCCGCAGCTGCCTGGCAGCCGGCCACCAGTGGCGGGGCTACACAGTCTCCTCCCACACCTTCCTGCTCACCTTCTGCTGCCTGCTCATGGCTGAGGAAGCAGCAGTGTTCGCCAAGTACCTGGCCCATGGGCTGCCCGCGGGCGCACCGCTGCGCCTTGTCTTCCTGCTCAACGTGCTGTTACTGGGCCTCTGGAACTTCTTGCTGCTCTGTACCGTCATCTATTTCCACCAGTATACTCACAAAGTGGTGGGTGCTGCAGTGGGCACCTTTGCCTGGTACCTCACCTATGGCAGCTGGTATCATCAGCCCTGGTCTCCAGGGAGCCCAGGCCATGGGCTCTTCCCTCGCCCCCACTCCAGCCGCAAGCATAACTGAAAGAAATAAAGGCACATCAGGCCTGGCTCTGGCCCCTCTCATCATTTGGTTGGGGGATCTAGGAAGGTTGGGAAGGGTAAAAAGAGGCTGGTGGTCACTGAGGTTCCTCAGCCATTCCTTGCTGTCATCAACTTTGAATGTCCTTCCTTATACTCGATGGCCATTCTTCTTGCTGTCCTTTCAGTCTGTGAACCAAAAGGCCTGTGAACCAAAAGAGCACGGTTCAATTCCCAGTCAGGGCACATGCCTGGGTTGCAGGCCAGTTCCCAGCAGGGGCCAGTTCCCAGCAGGGGAGGCACCAGAAGCAACCATACATTGATATTTCTCTCCTCTCTCCTTCCCTTCCCTTCCCTTCTAAAGATAAATAAATAATAATTTTAAAAAAAGGGACATTTGAGCAGAGAATGGAATGCCAATATGATGCAGGGGAAGAGTGTGTCAGGAGAAGGGATTATTAGTCAAATTCGCCTTGAGTCAGGAATGAATGAACAAATGAAAGCCAGGTATTTTCAAGTGTAATGAAAGGGGAAGAGCAGTGTGAGGTGAAGCTGATTGGCAACTGATGCCAGACTGTACAGGTGGGCCTTTGGATTTCAGGAAAGCCCTCTGAATTTCATTCTTAGGTTAACAGGAAACAGAGAAAGAGTTCTAGGCAAGAAAGAGCCAGATCCTGCTGCTGTGTGGATAGCGGGTTACAGGGGAATGAAGTGCACAGCAAGGGTCAGGAGAGAGCTGACTGGGGCCTGGGTTGGCGTGGGCCAGAAGATGCCCGGGGGCGGGGGTCCAAGGTCTCAGGCTGGCAGGGCTACGGACGGGAAGCTACCTTCGTTCCACGGCAGAGGAAAGATGGAAGACTACCAGAGAATGCGTATCACTGTCCCAGGCCCAGTCCGTGAAGAAGAGGGCCAGTTCGGGGTCAGGACGCGGAGACGGGGGCGGAAGTCCCGAGGCGGGCACTGGCTGGGTGGAGGGAGTACCGGACTAGAGAAGCCGAAAGGCAAGAATCAGAACCTAGGGAAGGTAGGGGTGGAAAGAAAGCAGAGTGAGGAGGAGGAGGAGGAGGAGGAGGAGGAGGGGAGGGGCCGGAGAGGGCAGAGGAGGCGGGGTGTGGAGAGCAGGGAGGCGGGGTGGGGAGGGGGGGCAGAGGGCCTCCGTAGAAACGCTCCGCTCCGGCTCTAGGGGGAGCCCCGCTGGAGCCTCCTTTCCCGGCTACCCAACTCCCCCCGCCCCGCCTTCTTTAGGGCTTGTCCCCGCCTCCTCCCGTGCCTCCATTCCCCGCTACTCAAGAAAGCTGGGCCGGTTACGCGCGCTGCTTTCGCTTTCCCTTCTCCGTGCCCAGCCTTCGCTCCGCGTGCGGCGCTCGGGCCCCCGCCCCAGCCATGGCCATGATCAGGGTCCAGCCTGAAGCCCAAGCCAAGGTGAGCCCTACGAGGTCGAGGAAAGACCCATTAGTGAAGCGTGGCGCCTAAAAGCTGAGGACGTAGGTAACACGCCCTCCAGCTCCCCCGACACTTGTCGAGGTCACTCCTCCAGCCCGAGTAAGCCCCCATGCAGGGAGCACCCGGAGGCCCGGAGTACCGGTGGGGCTCGCCTGCCGGGAGAGAGGAGGCGGCCGAGGTTCAGCGGGGTGAGGTGAAGCGGAGAGCTAGCGTGGAGGGGAAGTCCGCTGACCCAGCGCCGGGCCCGCACACAGACGGGGTGCGGCACCTGCCTTGCCTCTTCATTGCCTTTCCCACAGGGAGGGCCCTGGGGCCCACTGCACAGGTACTCCGTCCCTGCCCAGTCTCAGAAGGCTCTTACACCTCTCCTTACACAGCCCAGGAGACCCGAAGGATCTGTTCTCGCCTGAACCACTCGCCCTTCACAGCCAGAAATATCCTCATTCCCCAAAACCAGTCCCACAGGGATCTGCTCCACCCTTCCCCAGACTGAGCCCTACACAACCCTGAGGGAACAGTACCCAAATTAACTAACTGGCCATAAAGCCAGGTATCTGAAGGGCTGCCTATGTCCCACAGGTGGATGTGTTCCGTGAAGACCTGTGTACCAAGGTAAGACTCTTGTCATAAGCGCCCCATCATTACCCCATCCCTACTGCTCAGCCCTTTCTTGTTGGGCAGGGCAAATGCCTGTCACTGCCTAGGAAGGGCATTTGCTTCCGACACCCATCTTCCCCACCCTTATCTCACTCACAGACAGAGAACCTGCTTGGAAGCTACTTCCCCAAGAAGATTTCTGAGTTGGATACATTTTTAAAGGTATTGGGGCTGGGCAGGGAGCTAGAGAGTAGAGGCCAAGGGGGAGAGTCTGGGGATCAGGAGAATGAGGAGGTGAGAGGGATGCCCTTGCCTCCAGCCCTCATCCTATCCTGTGCCAGGAGCCAGCTCTCAATGAAGCCAACCTGAGCAATCTGAAGGCCCCATTGGACATCCCAGTGCCTGACCCAGTGAAGGAGAAAGAGAAGGAGGAGCGGAAGAAACAGCAGGAGGCAAGCCAAAAAGAGCTGGGGGGAGGGACTCAACCATGGGAAAATTAGCCTTAGACCTGTCTCCCAAGAGCCCTTCTTTCTCTGCAGAAGGAAGACAAGGATGCAAAGAAGAAAGATGATGAAGACAAAGGTACCACTCTGGTGGGAAGGGACTTCAGTCTTATCTTTCAGGAGCTCTTCCTGAAGGATTCCTCTTCCCCACCCCTCACTCAGTCCTGGCCATGTGACTAACTTATTGGCCATTCTCTAGGTCCTCCCTGTGGCCCAGTAAACTGCAACGAGAAGATTGTGATCCTCCTGCAGCGCTTAAAGCCTGAGATCAAGGATGTTATTGAACAGCTTAACCTGGTGAGTCCTCCCACTTCACTTCCACCCCCAGGCTCTAGGTCAAACCCTTTGTCTTCCTTGATCCCTGCCATTTGGGGCATGGCAGCTGCCAGGTCTTAGCCGGAGAAGGCACAGCAAATGAAGTCGGCAGTTTAGGTTCTGTGCCTCAGGACAGACCTGGTATGCACCTACCCAAAGTAGGCCGGAAGCAAGGAAGGAGAGGAACTCAGGGAGTGGGTTGAAGGCTGATGTGGCTTTGCTGCCATTCCTTCCTCCCAGGTCACCACCTGGTTGCAGCTGCAGATACCTCGGATTGAGGATGGAAACAACTTTGGAGTGGCTGTCCAGGTTAGAGTGCTGCCTCACTCCCCCATTCTTCTTACCTCTCTAGTCCATGCTGTTTTCCATTTTCCCCCTTGCATTCTTTCCCTAGGAGAAGGTGTTTGAGCTGATGACTGCCCTTCACACCAAGCTGGAAGGATTCCACAGTCAAATCTCCAAGTGAGTGTCCAGCTGCACCTATGTGCACATCCTGCCTTAGTGTGGACAGAGGCCTGGGCTCTCTCCTTCTCCCACTCCACACCATTCTGTTTCCCACAGGTATTTCTCTGAGCGAGGCGATGCTGTGGCCAAAGCAGCCAAGCAGCCCCATGTGGTAGGTGAGATCCAGGTCAGGGTGCATGGCAGTAGGGAAGGACACATTTGAAGGCGGCCCTGATCCACGTCTTCCACAGGGTGATTATCGGCAGCTGGTGCACGAGCTGGATGAGGCAGAATACCGGGACATCCGGCTGATGGTCATGGAGATCCGAAATGCTTATGTGAGGAGGAGAAGATGGGGCAAGGGTGGGCAGAGGCAATTTTCCCAGGCTACCCATCCCCTGACCCTGCAGGCTGGGGGTAAAGGGTGACAAAACTCAGTTTTTCTACATGGTTTGAAAAGGAACACAGAGCCACAGGGGGTGACTGATGGCTGATCTCCACTCTTCCCTGGCCTTGTAGGCTGTGTTATATGACATCATCCTGAAGAATTTTGAGAAGCTCAAGAAGCCCAGGGGAGAAACAAAGGGAATGATCTATTGAGAGCCTCCTCTCACACTGCAGTGGGTCCAAGAGAGAACTTCCTGTCTTTGACAGAGAACTCCAGATTTTGTCCTACCTTCAGCCCGTTGAGGTTTCTCCCTCACTTTGATTCTCAGGCACAATAAATATAGTCGTAAAGGTATCCATCAGCTCAAGTCTCTTTATTGGATCCTGACCCTCCCACTCTGTCCCCGGCTCAGGCATTTCCATTGGTGGGACCAACCCACTGTGTGATTTGGGTGTTGAGCTGCTGGTTGGTCCAGTCCTGCTGGATGTCATCGAGATGGCAGTCAAAGTCCACGAGGTGCTGGTGAGCCCGGCTGTCCAGTAGTGTTCCCACCATCTGCCGTGACTCTTCCCAGTCCCTCCACATCACTCTGAAATAATAACCCCCATGGAGATCAAACTCAGCTGGCAGATACTTAACAGAAGTTAGGTCTAGAGAATGACCCTTGGGGCAGAACCAAGGACAGAGGCCCCAGTACTGTGGGTTTCCGAGAAGTAGAGGAAGTGGGGCACTCACAAATTCTTGTCCTTGGGGACCCAGCGGTTCTCTTGTCCATGGTTCTCCAGAACAATGACTGGGGGCACATGAGGCTGAGACACCAGGTTCTGATTATCCAGCTGTGTGGACAACCAGAGCAAGTGAGGGCTTCAAGAATCCCTCTTCCTATTTTCTTTCCAACCCCCTTCTCCAAACCCCAGCCTCACCATGATAAGTACTGCATCAGGGAAAAATTCTGCAATCCGTCCAGCAATTTTCAAGGCAAGGGGCCCAGGGCTGGGTAGAGGGAAGATCAGAGGAGTGAGGAGCTGACTGGAGAGACCCCGTCCACCTGAACTGTTGTCTCCTAGGTCTCATAGACATGGGTGCAGTGACTGCCTTTCCCTGTAGCTAAGCCGGGGGATCCGGTCTGCTTGATGCTTCATGCACAACTGCTTGATGCTTGAGTGCTGTGGGAAACATGCTCAGATTCTGCTGGTGAAAGTGAAAATCAAAGATCATCTTTTTGGGGGGTAATTTGGCATAACCATCCAGATTTAAACTGTATACTACACCTATGCTGACCCAGAAATGTCACTTAAAAGAAATTACTATAACCCTGCTGGTGTGGCTCAGTGGATTGAACTCTGGCCTGTGGACCAAAATCAAGTCGGTTGCCAGTTTGATTCCTGGTTGGGGCACATGCCTGGGTTGCAGGCCAGGTCCCTGGTTGGGGACATGTGAGAGGCAACTGATTGATATTTATTTTTCCAGAGGGGAAGGGAAGGAGAAAGGGAGAGAAACATCAATGTGTGGTGGCCTCTCACGAGCCCCGCACTGGGGACCTGGCCCACAACCCAGGGGACAGGGAATCAAACTGGTGACCCTTCACTTTGCAGGCCAGTGCTCAATCCACAAAGCCACATCAGCTAGGTCCTTTCCCTCTCTTTCTTAGGAGGGAAGGAGGGAGGGAGGGAGGGAAGGAAGGAAGGAAGGAAGGAAGGAAGGAAGGAAGGAAGGAAGGGAGGGAGGGAGGGAGGGAGGGAGGAGTTACTGTAATAATAGAGCAGGTTTATAACAAAGTATTGGAAACAGTCTCAGTGCTCAAAATAGGCGTTAACTAAACTACGGCAGATCCATATTCATATTACATAGTTTCAGGGTAAGGTAGGTCTTGGTGTAGAAATGGGAAAATGTCAGGTATTTATTAAGTTAAGGAAAAGCAAATCACAAAATAGTATGTATACTTTGATCTAGATACACAATATATAAGTAGATACATTTTTCTACTTATAGAAAGTAAATTTTTCTTTCTTGTGGTTTTTTTTTTAAGTTGCTGGTTGGGCTTCTGGGGTTCTGTCAGGAGTTTGGGGGGTCATTTTGGTTAAAACTAGTGTTAGCCTTTTCTTATTCATACACAGCTGTCCTCCCTACCCCTACCACAGCTCCTCCCAAGCGTCTTTCTATTTCCTCACCAGTACCCAGCCTTCTGCCTGGTATATAGTCCCTGCTCCTAAACCTTTGATTAAGGAAAGATTGAAGGAAAGAGGGGTTTTCTTGACTCCACCCCCACCCCATAACCCTTAGTCTTCTGTCTCTGGCTACCCCACTTACCTCTGGTCATGGAGAGCTGCATTGGCATGGTAGTACCCAGCCACTACCAGCCCGGCCTGCGCGCCCCACACATGCACCTGCCGTGGGAAAGGGGCCGTCAGTAACTAACCCGAACCGCCGGCCCTGAGGGTGTACGCTGCTGCTAAGAGGCCGGAGATGGGCTTGGGCTAGGGGTGCTAGGGGATTTCTCAGTATTTGGTGGGTAGCCAGTAGCAGCACCTGGTTGAGGGCGACCTCCAGCATGACAGACAGGGCCAGGTGGCTGTGGAACAGTGGCACACAGTCGACTAGACACAGGCATTCTCCCGATTGCGGCACCGGCGCCAACAATAGCCCATTGACTGCGGCGTGAGGGTACCGGGCAGCATGCAGGCACATCTTCACGTAGGCCCGGGCCGATATCTCCACCTCCCCCATGGCGAGCCTGGCCCCAGCTCGGGTCTGGGAAGCTTCTTCCAACACCTAGGCGCGTTCCCTGGCCCTTCCCGTGACCCCGTCACTTAGGTTTGGGGGTGACCCTGACTCGGCTGGAAGGCTCCTGGCCCCAGCCTGGCTGGGAATGCAGGCGGTGGCGATTGCATGCTGCGACTCCGGGCTCCGCCTCCGCCAGCCCCCAGGGGGCGGCCTCAGATTCACGCCTGTCTCTGGGACCGAGAACCTCCTGCTCGAGCCTGACCGCTTCTAGAGTACTGCCCACATGGTGCTACTTGATAGGTTTAGAGGTTCTCATTTTGTCCAATCACTAGCCTTGCCCACACCTTGCCACACCTTTATCACCAGCGGACTGGAAATAACCCACAACTGTAAAGCAAAAACTGCCAGTTTGCATATTGAGTAGGTTACTGACTTTGGCTCGTGATTGTGGGATGGCTTCTGTGAGCCTGTGCCGCCCTCAAAAGACCCACAGAGCCAGTGGGGTGCGCCCTGAATCAGGTGCCCGGGAACAGATCTTCAAGTTTAGGCACATAGCAACTACCTTGTTCCTACTATGGGATGAATGGATTTGTACTCTAGACTGATGCTTCCACTTAATGAGCTACGCTACTTTTCCAACTACAGGTTATCTGGCCCTTCATTTCCTTCACGTAATTATCTGTAGAAATGAAGACAGTGATTGGCTGAAGGTGGGTAAAAAAAAAACAACGAACAGACCCATTCTTCCCATAATGTCCTCTGGTGTGATTTCCTTCATCACAAATGCCTTGGGATTGTTTTTTAACCTCTCAGCCCTTGAGGAGTCCAACCATTCACCCATAATTCTTCCTGTGAAACCATTCTTCCTCTAGGCTTGCTCTGGGCTGATGAAGTGATGAAAGGCTTTTTCTTTCTTCATTCCCTGACTTCACCCACAGAGCTTTTCTTTTGTCCATCCAAAGCCTGATTCTTCCTATAAGGGCATTCTGCCCAAATGCCACCTCTTCCAGGAAGCACTCATGAGATCCCCAGATGGGAATAACTTGTGAAAATCCCCAGTATAGGTTATCTTCATGGCTGTCATGGCATGTAAGTTTCCACCCTGTTTGGCATCTAATTCATCTTTGTCTGCCTGGAACACTTTCCCTTTCACAGCACCACATTCACATTCAGGGTCTGGACAAAGGTGGCATGCAATAAACGTTTTTTAAATGAATGACACACACCAGAGGTAATCCACACAAAGTACTGGTAATTTATTTCTTTTCTAGCCCTGGGCTCAGTACATAGATGGCTTCTCTTCACCCTTTGGGTTGACAATTTTCTCCAGGTTTTTGCTGATGATATGATAAAGCTCAGCCTGGAAGAAAGCCAGAAGGACAGCAATCAGGTTCTTGGCCTTTGCTCTGCCCTCCCTCACCCAGTTCCCTGAGGGGCTTACCACACACTCACATAGAAGGCCCTCAGGTCCAGCACCATGGCCCTGAGTTCCCCATAGGCTGTCTCATCTCTTTCATGCACCAGGGCCCGGTAATCCATCTGGGATGTGGAAGGCAAAGCTGAGTCAGCCCCATGGGAGGTTGGGACATAGTCTGGTTTCCTCATACAGGGAATAGGTAACTTGAGGATGAGCCCTTCTCAGCACCAAGAAATGGGATTCCCATAGTTCCAAACAAACAAACAAAAAAAGGGGTCAAGTGTTTTTGAAGCCCAAATTAGTTTTCCTAGACAATGATATCGGCTTGATATTCCCCACATGGGGAAGGTCATAAACAAGACAAAGAGAACCTCTAACCCCCTTTCCTCACCCCACCCCACCCCCAGCCACCCTCAGCTGAAAGGCTGGTGGACAATCCACTCACTACATGGGTCTCCTTAGAGGCCTTGGCCACAGCATCCCCGCGTTCTGAGAAGTACCTGCCGGAAGCACAGGAATGGGTGTTCAGAGAGAGATATTCTCTAAGACCCTTCCCAAAGCCGCCCATCATCCTGATGGGACTGTCCAGGTTCCGGAGTCCCTAAAATGTTCCCATAGCAGCCCCGTGCTGGCCTTTCAGCTGCCCTCACTTGGAAATGGTTGTCTGGAAAGCTTCTACTTTGGTCTTGACCGCATTCACCCTCTCCAACACCTTCTCCTATGGTAACAAAAGAGATGGGAGGCAAAGAAAACACTTCATCTCTTCCCTTCTTCACTTACTACCTACCTCCTTCTCCCAGTTATGTCTAGCTCCTAACCCTCACTCCCCAAGCCACTCTTAAGGTCCTCACACACCCTTTTCTTACCTGGATTGCCACCCCAAAGTCATTTCCATCCTCAATCTTGGGGATCAAGTGCTGGATCCATGTAATCACCTATGTGAAGAGGCATCATGTAAGACTCATTCAACAAACCTACTGGGTTCTTCCTATTTCTGCTACTTCCTAATACTGGCTCTATTTAATGGAGCATTTATTATGTGCCAAGCACTATGCTATGCATTATACATTTAATTTACTCTTTAAAGTTTAATATTCTTTTATACCCTTTTAGCAGATGGAAAAACTGAGTCATAGAACACCTAAGAGACTTATGTGACCAGCTAGGCAAATCATAGAGTCATGATTTGAACTCAGACAGTCTTCCCCTAGGGCCCAAACTCTTAAGTCAACTTACTATATTATAGCGCCTGCACTGTGCACCTGCTACAGCAGTGGGTTCTGAGGTTATGGAGGCGGGTATAGCACGGTCTCTGATTTCAGGGATACCACTGTGATATCAGAGGTCTAACAGAACAAAAGGTGTCTACAACCACATCACAGATGGAAGTTCCCTACTTCAGGAATAGATTCCTGCATGAAGGACTTGCATTTCTGTAGGACCCCAGGGCCTGGCCTGTCTTCTCTATTTCTCTCAGTTCCCGGCCTTACCAGAATACATTTTTCTTTCAGAGTCCAGACTTCTGGCTTAACCAGGGCAAGCAGGGCCAGAAGCTTCTCATTCCCAGGTAGAAAGCCACATTTAGGGACTGTGAAAAAAGGGGATTTAGACCTCTTCTTATCTAGCAGTCACTGTGCCATTTCCCTTTCCCTAGCCACCCCTTCCTCTCTTACCTTCTTTCTTCTCCTGTTTATCTGTTTCCATCTAAAGCAGAATGGGGGAAAGTAGTTTCAGAAAAGTCATGGAGGTTGGAGGACCATCACTCCCATTGTGTTTATAGTCTAAACCCTACATTCTGAATGCCTCACCTCATCATCCTTGGGTGGGGGGTCTGGAATAGGGATGTCCAGTGGGGCTCGGAGAGAGGTCAGATTGGTCACGTTGAGGGAGTCCTCCTGCACAGAGCTTATTGTCAGGGGCTGCCCAGCCTTCCCTCCACACATCCCACTTGCCCTCTGCCTTCCATCCTCGGCTCAGGCCTCCAACCTCCATCCTAAAGTTCCTAGTCCATCACCCACAACTATTCTATGCATGCTGAGCCCAGCTGTTAGCTAGCTAGAGACAGTGGGTGGAGAAAATGGAGGCCATGGGATGGACCAAGAGGGGTTGACACTACTCACCTGCAAGAGCTGATTCAGGTATATGATTTTCTGTGGCAAGAATCTGTAGAGGAATTCCTCAGCCTGTGTGTTACATTGCAAGGGTGGGGAATCACAGAAGACACTCAATGAGCCATCTGAGCAGTGGGACTGGAAGGGCCCTTGAAAATTGTTGAACCCAAGACTGACAAATGAGGAAACTGAAGCCCTGAAAACTGAAGGGACTTGCCCGAGCTGGGAAGTGGCAAACACCAAGGTTAGAACTGTGGTATTCCTATTTCAGGGCCTTAGCGTTTCTCCCCACACCAAAAGAGGGGAGAGAAGTGGAAGGAGTGGGGAGAGTATTAAGAGGGGTCAAATCAAGGTAGAGATCAATAATTAGGAGCTTATCTTGGGTGAAGGCTTGATAAGGGGAGTAGGGTCAAGGTTTAGGATGGGTTTGGGGGTAACTCTAAGAGGTTGTGACCCTCAGGTATTGGTTGGTCTAAGATTCTCGGTCAAATCCCTTGCATTCAGAAGACTTACCTCCTGGAAAAGATTTTGCCTGAAGACATCCACCTACACAGAGAGCAGTACCCGGATGTTGGTTAAGGGTCTCATTTGTCGACAGTAAGATCCCACCCCCAATGGAATGCCCTGCAACTTAGCTCTGGCCCTTCCCACCACTTCTCTGGAAGTCCATGCTCAGTGCAGAGACTGGGCAGAGGGCTGGAATCTGGGAATTCCCGGGCAGAAGTGAAAGTATTAAAGAAAGAGGTTGGGGTAGTTCTCCGGCACGACTTGGTCCCCTGGAACTCAGGTTGGCCTCTACCACGAGGGCTCTCCAGCCCCCTCCTAGCCTCCCAGTCCCCCATTACCTGTTTGCGGGCTTCCCCGCTCAGGCGGACCCCACAAGGTTTGGCCATGCTGCTTCAGTGTACTAGATTTCGGTCTCCCGGCTCGCCTCCTGGGCTTTCGCTTTCACTCCCCACACCCAGGCCCGCCCCCCTCAACCCCGCCCCCTTCCCTTTTTTCCCCTCCCCCTGGCAAGCCACAAATGGTAGGGAGCCCCTCAACCATACTCGGCTAGTTAAGACTAGGAGAGGCGGTGCTGACTGGGTCCAAGGCCAGGGACTGCCCGAGGGAGGGGCTCGGGCGAGTGGGACCGCGGAAACTGAACTCCCGAGAAGGGGCGGGGCTTACAGGAAGTCTGCATGGGGGGTGAGAGAGGTGGGAGAGTGGGAAAGGAGGTGTTCGGTGGTAGGGTTCCTTCTGGAAGGCGTGACTGTGAGGAGAGGCCGGAGAGGGATCAGAGCGTTGGGAGTAGTAGAAGGGAGAGTCTGGGGCTGAGAAGGGCTAGCAGCCTATGATAGGGAGTAGGCGCGGGGGCTCCCAGCCTTCCAGACTGACGGGAGAAGGGGTGGGACTCGCTTGAGCCGGGCACAGGCCCACCAGAGTGGAGTCCCGGGCAGAGTGGGACTGCCCCAGTGGGGGCAGGAGCAAGACCTACTGGTCAGGATAGAGAGGAAGGTTTTGAGGGAAATAAGGATAACCCGGCTCCTTTGGCTACCGGGAAAGGGGCGGACTAGCTTGGAGAAAGGCGGGGAATAGCTCTAGAACCAAGTTAGAAGCAGTTAGGCTCCCGGGCGGAGGGGCGGGGAGACAAGGAACCATTTATTCTTCTCATTGGCTGGGACTACCCTCATAGGCGACACCCCGTTACTTCGTTACTCGGCCCTCCTAACCTTAAACCCCTCCTCTTCCTCTGAAACTGGGTGGCAGTCCCGCCTTCTATCCTAGTACTTCCTGTTCCCGACTAAGCTTGCCTGGGGAGTGGGGGGCTCAAGGGTGACCGTGGCCTGAGTGACCCTGGAAGGCGCGCCCGTCTGGGGCGGGTCGTGAAGTCAGACACCAGGCGGAAGGGGCGGTGCTCAGGCCGCGCACAGCAGGTGCAGGATCCGTGCCGGCGGCGGGGCTGGGGCTGACTGCTGTCTCGGGATGCCGGGAGAGGAGGAGGCGCGGGCCTTCCTGGCAGTCCGCGAGGAGCTCGTGAGCGCCCTGAGGACGGATTCTGGGCAGTCATTCTCCCTGGAGCAGCTTCGGCCACTGCTGGTCACATCTCTGCCGCCAGCCGCCCGCTACCTGCAGCTGGACGCCGCACGCCTGGTCCGCTGCAATGCTCACGGGGAGGTGAGGCCCAGATCCACTTGAAGGAAGACAGAGAACCTGAGCCCGGGGCGGGGCTCACAGCTCTCTGCTCTGTGACTGCTTTCAGCCCCAAAACTACCTCAACACTCTGTCCACGGCCCTGAATATCCTGGAGAAATATGGCCGCAATCTCCTCAGCCCTCAAAGACCTCGGTACTGGCGCGGGGTCAAGTTTAATAATCCCGTCTTTCGAAGTACAGTGGATGCTGTGCAGGTAAAGCCCCTGGAGCCCCTTATTGGAGAAGGGAACTTAGCCTGGGCCGGGGATTGGCTAGAAAGGGCCTGAGCTGGGCAGAATGGGAAGGGGTTCAGTCTTGTTGGAAAGGGGCTTGCTGGATGGTGACTGGTTGCGATGTGTGGCAGGGGGGCCGGGATGTTCTGCGATTGTATGGTTACACAGAGGAGCAGCCAGATGGGTTGAGCTTCCCTGAGGGGCAAGAGGATCCGGATGAGTATCAAGTTGCTACAGTCACACTGGAAGTACTCTTACTTCGGACCGAGCTCAGTCTGCTGTTACAGGTAAGTTGTCTCTGGTCCTGAGGACTTAAGCACCCGGGCTGGGAAGCTCAGCCTAACTCCAAAGCCAGCCTAGGGATTCCCACACTGCTAAGCCGTGGGCAGTCTCTGCAGCAACCTGGGAGTTCCCCTCACTGTTCTTTCTGTAAATGCTGGGGACCAGGGCTTTGAGGGAGGGCCTTGTTCTAGGGCTGTAGGTGGGAATTCTTTTTATCTTGTTTGCAGGGTTCTCACCCAAGAGAGCAAGCACTGGAGCAGCTGCTGAAAGACAAGGTTGATGATGATGCACAGAAGGCAGGAATGGGACTTTGGGACCTGGCGAACAAAGGGGGCAGGAGTTAGGGGACTCCCCAAACACTTACCCATACCCTGCCCTTTTTCCTCAGATGCTGCAGCTCTCAGAGTTTGCCCCTCTACTGAGAGAGATTGCTCCTGGCCCCCTTACCACACCATCTGCCCCAGGTATTATTGGTCCCATATTGGGAGGGGGGTTAGTTGCCATGTTGATGGAAATTTGGGGGCCCTCCTTTGTCTATCTTCTTGGTTATCTGCCTTTTTTAAAAAGACTTTATTTATTTACTTATATATTTTTTAGAGAGAGGGGAAGGGAGGGAGGAAGAGAGGGAGAGAAATACCGATGTTCAAGAGATATCAGTTGCCTCTTGCCCCTAGCTGGGGACCTGGCCCGCAACACAGGCATGTGCCGTGACTGGGAATTGAATCAGCAACCTTTTGGTTCTCAGGCTGGCACTCAACCCACTGAGCCACACCAACCAGGGCTGCCTTTTTTTGTTTTTAGAAATTAAAATGGTTTCCTTGAGTTCAGATATGTTGAGAAGTAGCCTGTAACTGATCCCCTTCAACAGCACATTCAGATATAACCTGGTCTTTTGCAGAAAGATGTTCTATTCTTTTTCTCCTGTTCTCCAGCCTCCACTTCTGGTCCCTGCTTCCTCTGTGGTTCTGCCCCAGGCACATTGCACTGCTCAGCCTGTAAACAGGCCTTGTGCCCAGCTTGTGATCGCCTGTTCCATGGGCACCCATCCCGTGCCCATCACCTCCGCCAGACCTTGCCTTGGGTCCCCCAGACTGCCCACTTGACCCCTAGGTGAGAGGCCTTCTCTTCTGGGAGGGAGTGAAATTAAGAGAACTTAAAATTACTTGAGTATCTAGTATGTACCACATTCTATGCTAAAGGCTGTTTTAGAGAGGGCAAGCAACTAGTTACCGCCCTCCAGGAGATCATAGACACACATATCAAACAAGTAGCAGTCATGTTACTGCTAGGTCTACAAGATAGACTGTCATGTTGCAAACATAGGTAGTAGGAGGATGCAGCCTAGTCTGAAGGATCAGCTTAACCAGTTGGCAGTGTTTTAAGCAGTTAGAATGGGTCAGGCCTTGTGTTAGGGATACCCATCAGCAAGATATAAACTTAAAGCTGTTATTTAAATGTTGAACAGGCTATGGGTATAGGAGTATTCTAGACAGAACAAAACGTACAAAGGTCAGAGCCATGTGTCATCACACAGAGAATGAGGGATACCCAGGGTGGGGGACCCAGGTACCAGGGCCCCCTCACAGGCCGTGTCTGCTTTTCCATTACAGCTTACCTGCCTCAGCTCCACCACGGCCCCAGCTAACCTCCATGCTGGCCCTGGGAGAAAACTCCCTTTCGTCCCCTGATCCTACAAGTGTCCGTCTTCCTTGGCACTGTGCCACCTGTGCCATGCTAAATGAATCTTGTGCCGTGCTCTGTGTGGCCTGTGATCGGCCCAGAGGCTGTAAGGGGTTAGGGCTGGATATCTTGGGTCCCCAAGGCTCTGGGAGCCTAGAACCTGAACTTGCACGGGGTCATTGGGCCTGCCAGAGCTGCACCTTTGAGAACGAGGCGGCAGCTGTGCTCTGTGCCATGTGTGAACGACCTCGGCTGGCCCAGCCTCCTAGCTTGGTGGTGGATTCTCAAGATGCCAGCATTTGCCTGCAGCCCCTTCAGGTAACCCATTCCTGGCCTTCCTAGCTCGTTATTTGTACCTGTTCCCATAAGCCATTCTCCACCTCCTCATCCCATTTTCCTTCAGTTTCCCCATATCTTCCAACCTGCCCGCTATATTTCCATCTTGAGCCTCAGCCAGCTTTCAATGGGATAATTCTTTCTGCCTTCCCAACAGGGAGATACTTTGCTCTCCTCTGCCCAGACTCCGGTCTGGTACTGTATTCACTGTACCTTCTGCAACTCGGGCCCTGGCTGGGTGTGTGCTGTGTGCAACCGGACCAGCAGCCCCATCCCAGTAAAGCATGCCTCCCGGCCCAGTGCCAGCTCATTGGAAGAGCGACTCCCGGAGCCAGGGCCTCAACGACGCCTCAGTGCCCCCCTGCCCAGTTCCTGTGGGGACCCTGAGAAGCAGCGCCAAGACAAGATGCGGGAGGAGGGTCTTCAGCTAGTGCTCAAGATCCGGGTGAGGATTTGGGCCTGGGATGAGGTGGGGCTGAATTTGTGGGGGAGGTACAGGCTGCAGCCAAATAATATGAATTCTTATAAATCTGGTCATTGTTAGTTACAGCTACCTGTTTTTTTGTTTGTTTGTTTGTTTCTTTTAAAGATTTTTTTTCATTTTTAGAGAGTGGAGAAGGGAGGGAGAAAGAGAGGGAGTGAAACATCAATGTGTGGTTGCCCGTCCCGTGCCTCCTACTTGGGACCTGGCCCACAACCCAGGCATGTGCCCTGACTGGGACTTGAACCAGCAAGTGTTTGGTTTGCAGGCCAACACTCAATCCACTGAGCCACACCAGTCAGGGCCACCTTTTTAAAAATACTTCCTGCATGACAGGTTTGCTTTGCTCTGTTCATATGATCATAGCCTGAGCTCAACCACTCAGCATTTTGATTTGGTTGAAGGTGGATAGAAGGCACCCTTCCTGATAGGCCCTCTGTCTGGGTGGGACTGTGCCTCAGGAAGGAGAAGCTGCAGGCGCCTGCCCAGAGGAGGTCTTCTCAGCTCTGCAGTACTCCGGCACCGAGGTGCCCTTGCAGTGGCTCCGCTCAGAACTGCCCTGTGTGCTGGAGATGGTGGCTGAGCTGGCTGGACAGCAGGACCCGGGGCTGGGTGCCTTCTCCTGTCAGGAGGCCCAGAAAGCCTGGCTGGATCGTCATGGCAATCTCGATGAAGCTGTGGAAGAGTGTGTGAGGGCCCGGCGGAAGAAGGTACCAGAAGTGCTAGAGGTGGGGCAGGGTTGAGGGTCGTGGGTCTCAGAGCCTCTCATATTCTCTCCTTGCTTACTTTCTCCTTCTTTATTCTTTCTTTTTACTTCCAACACTCAGGTGCAGGAACTTCGATCCCTGGGCTTTGGACCTGAGGATGGGTCTCTTCAAGCATTGTTCCAACATGGGGGTGACGTGGCTCGGGCCCTAACGGAGCTACAGCGCCAGCGCCTAGAGCCCTTCCATCAGCGCCTCTGGGACAGTGGCCCAGCGCCCACCCCTTCGTGGGACGATCCAGACAAGCAGGTGCTGGGAGGAGGTGAAGAGCCACATAGAGGGGTGGAGGGAAGGGTGAAGGGTAGGAGCCTTGGGTCTGACCAGCACTTCTTCCCTCTCTACCTGAATCACATTGCAGAGCTTGATCAGACGGCTCTTGGCAGTCTACGCACTCCCCAGCTGGGGCCGGGCAGAGCTGGCACTGTCACTGCTGCAGGAGACACCCAGGAACTATGAACTGGGCGATGTTGTAGAAGCCGTGAGGCAGAGCCAAGACCGGGCCTTTCTGCGCCGCTTACTTGCCCAGGAGTGTGCTGTGTGTGGCTGGGCCCTTCCCCGGAACCGGGTAAACACCTCCCACTGACCTGGCCTTAGAGAATGTTTCCTTTAGACCCACACTTCATCTCAGCCAGTCTTCAGTCTTGTCTTTTGCTCTGCAGTTGCCCATGTGCCCCTGAAGCTTCTGGGAAAGGGAGGGCAAAAATAGGCTACCCCTCAGCCCCCATTTTTTAATGTTCTATTATGGAAAATTTCAAACACACAGTGGTAGACGAAACTGTATAACGAACTTCCTCCTCCACCCTCTACCATATATTCATCACCAGGCTTCAGCAATTACAAATGTATGGCCAATCTTTATTTCACTCCACACACACAGGATTATTTTAAAGCAAATCTCAGGCATCATGGCTTTTCTGCTAATATTTAAATATGTATCTCTAAAGGGGAAAACTCTTTGAAAACATAGTCACAAATACTGTGTCCCAACAAAAAGTTTATAGTAATTCTTTAATGTCATCATCAAATCTCCATTTTGTAGGAGCAGACTCCCCTTATCTCCTGAAACCCCACTTAACTGGAGTCAAAAGTGGCAGTTCTTTGGCCAAAAACAGTTTGATTTAGTTAGGTTGGCTCTGTGTTTTTTGTTTTGTTTTGTTTTTACTCTTCATTTTAAAGTAATTATAAGTATACATACGTGTAAAATAATTATAGATTCACAGGAAGTTGTAAAAATAGTACAGAGATCTATGTGCTCCTCACCCACCTTCCCTCCCCTTGGTGACTTCTTGTAGAATTAGAGTACAATATGAAGACCAAGAAATAGACATGGATACAGTGTTAGCTAGAATGCAGACCTAGTTTGGTTTTTACGTGTGTGTGAGGTTCTGTGCTGTTTTGTCCCATGTAGAGATTTGTGTAACTGGCACCACAATCAAGATGCTGACTGTCCCATCACCTTGAAGGAACTCCCTCATGCTGCCCCTATATAGTTGTATATAAACAGATTCTTCCCTTCCTCCTGTCACCTGCCAACCACTAGTCTGCTCTCCATCTCTATCATTTTGCCTTTTCATAATTATTTGTGTGTTTGCTGTTAATCGAGTGTGAATACCTTTAGAGGGCATTCTTCCCTTTACCTTAGGTCTTACCATTGTCTACTTTCTTCCACCTGACTGTCTTCAGACATTTAGGTTGCCTGCCTGGCACCCGTTGGTATTTGAGGTTGCTTTCCCTGCCCAGTTGTTAATTAGTGGTTTCTCAGTGAACACCTGCCGGCTGTCCCTTCCCAGGCTGGCAGCTGTGGCTTCTGACTTCCTTCTCTCCCTCTCCCCTCTAGATGCAGGCCCTGACTTCCTGTGAGTGCACCATCTGTCCTGACTGCTTCCGCCAGCACTTCACCATCGCCTTGAAGGAGAAGCACATCACCGACATGGTGTGCCCCGCCTGTGGCCGTCCTGACCTCACTGATGACACACAGTTGCTCAGCTACTTCTCCACTCTGGATATCCAGGTACTGAAGTCTCTGGGACTTAGGGTGCCCAGGGCTTTGAACAGAAACCCTTGCCATCCTTCACTTGTGCATTCGGTCCCCAGCTTCGAGATAGCCTGGAGCCAGATGCCTATGCCCTGTTTCATAAGAAGCTGACCGAAGGCGTGCTCATGCGGGACCCTAAGTTCCTGTGGTGTGCCCAGGCAAGTGGCCTGCCCAAAGGAGCCGACTGAAAGGGTGAGGATGGTGCCTGGTCAGGCCTCAAACAGCTCTGTCCTCTTGTACCCACAGTGCTCCTTTGGTTTCATATATGAGCGTGAGCAGCTGGAGGCAACGTGTCCACAGTGTCACCAGACCTTCTGTGTGCGCTGTAAGCGTCAGGTAAAGCACATCCATCCTTCCAGAAATACTTGCTGAGCTGCTGCCAGGTACTCTGTTAGACCCGGAGTGTGCTGGAGAACAGAACAGACATGATCTCTGGGCTCAAAGTGCTTACAGGCTAGTCAGGGAAGGACGAAGAAAAAGTGAGAGAAGGAAAAAAGGGTGAGGGAGGAGTGGAGGGAGATGGAGAAGGTAAAGAGGAAGGCCAAGGGGAGAAGGATGGAGGGGGAGGAAGGGTGAAAGGGAGGGCGGATGAAAGGTAAGATAGAGGAGGAAGGAAGGAATGGAAATCAGGGAGGGAGGAAGAGCGTAATTACACATAAACATGAGTTCTATGAGGAAAACAAACAGGAACCTGAGATTAGGAATAATGGAATGGAACTGCTTAGAGAGGTCACGCAAGTCTACTCAAAAATGGTTTATTTATGCTAAGGCTTAAGTGAAGACGAAAGCTAAGGCGCAGAAAGTTAAGATGAAGTCAACTATGCAAAGAGTATTTGTAACAGAAAAAGCAACCCATGCAAAGGCCAGTCAGAAAACAACGTTGTGTGGTTGGAGACTCAAGAATGAGGGTGAGGGGGGCAGGCAGGTGGCAAGGGGCTGCCCCCAGGTCAGGAGAGGCCTTGAGGCCAAGTGAGGAAGGTGTTCGCTTTTCATTCTAAGATTAAGCAAGGGGTGACATGACCTCATTTACCTTTTAAAAAGTTTAACATTTGATCCCCCAAAATTGCATCTATATTTTGAAACATGATAGATAAACCCCTGAGACACTACCACTGAACCTCAAAACTAGGGCGCTCCCAGTCCAGCTGCAGCTGTCTGACACACACCTTCAAAGGCACTTTGGCTGCACGGTGGAGTTTGGACCATAGGAGAGCCCGAGTGGAGGCAGAGAGAATAGTAGCCGAGGCAAGTAATTGAGGCAAGACCTGACCTGGCCCAGTGTGAGATGGTCGCAGTAGGGATGAAGAGAAAGAGGACAGGGTGTGAAACAGACGTCGGTACAATGTGAGCTAGGCTTGTTAGTGGAATCAAGACTTGCTGGGAACGTACGGTGGTGTGAGGGAATGAAAGCACCAAATGCTGGCCTCTCGGTTTGAGATTAGAGCAGGGCTGTAAACTCATTTTCACCGGGGGCCACAGGAGCCTCGTGGTTGCCTTTAAAGGTCTGAATGTAATTTCAGGACTGTACGAATGTAACTGCTCCTTAACTAGGGGTGAGGAGCTCGGCACTGCCGCCAGGCAGAAACAAGGTGCCGGGCGGGTAAAACAAGGTGGAGGGCCAGATTCAGCCTGCAGGCCTTGTGTCTGCTACATGTGGATGAGAGTGAATGGTGGATGACAGTGCCATAAGCTAAGCCAGGGACACTGGGTATGAGTAGAGGGACCAGCAGGAAGGGCCTAGGATGGAGCTTTCATGTGACTCTTGCTTTCCTTCTGGCAGTGGGAGGAGCAGCATCGGGGCCGCAGCTGCGAGGATTTCCAGAACTGGAAACGCACCAATGACCCAGAATACCAGGCCCAGGGCCTGGCCATGTACCTTCAGGAAAATGGCATTGGTAAGGCTGCCCCACTACGCCTGTTTGCCCAGTAATCTATTGTAGCCTGCGGCTCTCGTTCTGAGGGTCTCAAAGAACAGTGGCAGCCCTAGCCCTGACCTGCTGTCTTGCAGATTGCCCCAAGTGCAAGTTCTCGTATGCACTGGCCCGAGGAGGCTGTATGCACTTTCACTGCACCCAGTGCCGTCACCAGTTCTGCAGTGGATGCTACAATGCCTTTTACGCCAAGAATGTGAGCCCAGAGAATGGGGATGGAAGGGATAAAGGGATAGAGGGCTGCCATTAGATGTGAGGGACAGAGGCCACTAAGGAGCAGCCCAGGGGAAAAGAAGAGGCTGGTGGGGGAACGGGGTAAATTACCTCTCTCTATCCCCTTTCCCCTCTGCTTGCTCCAGACCCGCCAAGTGTCTCCATCTCCCCCCACCCCTATACCCCTCACTCAAGGGTTCCTGAGAGGCCAGGACCCCAACAGTCTCCAACTTCCCCTCTTCCATCTGGGTTTCCGCCAGAAATGTCCAGACCCTAACTGCAGGGTGAAAAAGTCCCTGCACGGACACCATCCCCGAGACTGCCTCTTCTACCTGCGGGACTGGACTGCTCTCCGGCTCCAGAAACTGCTACAGGTAATGGGAGCCAACCTGGCTGGGTTCACGGGTCATCCAGGAGAGGGGTAGAGCCCAGGGTAGCAAGAAAGGAGAAACTCTGTCCTGGGAGATCCAGTGGGCTGACACAAAGGGGAACCTAACGCCCACCGTCTGCCTCTCTCAGGACAATAATGTCATGTTCAACACAGAGCCCCCAGCAGGCGCCCGGGCAGTCCCTGGAGGTGAGTGTTGGGACAAGTCTTGGAGAAGGGGAGAGGGTGGCTGGGTGCCCACTGTGAACTGGGTAAACGAGAGGCTTGGATCTGGGGTCAGAGCTGGGCTGAAGACCCATCCCCATGCTGACTGTGTGCCCGTTGGCGAGGTAACCTCCCTGGGCCTTGTTTCTTCCTCTGTGAAATGGGGGTAATATTCACCTTGCAGCTCAGCTATTTCACATGAAGCCACATTAAAGCATCTGGCACCTCAATACTCTCTTCTCTCATTCCCAAAGGATAATGATTCTTTACTTCGATGAATATTTAGTACGACTTGCTAGCTGCACTGTCTTAGGTTCTGTGAGGCAACGAGAGGTTACTTATGGTTCTAATGTACCCCACTTCTTACATCAAGATAGGGTAAGACCTTCACACAATAACCATTCAAAAGCTAAATCAAAAAAGAGCTGTCTCCAAGGGTATGTGATTATGGGCCAAGAGCCAGCTTAGATAAAAGCAGGGACAACAAAGTCCCTGCTTCTATGTCAGAGCTAGTCTGCCGCAGTGGCTTCTCTAAGTACACCCCCCACCACCACTGTTAGCGCTGGCCCTCCCATCCTCCAGCCCCTTCCTGGGGGCTGTCACCCATGCCTCCATCCCTGTTCTCCTAGGCTTTGCTGTCAGTGGCCTCTTCCCAACAAAGGGTCTTTTCCTGCCCTTATCCATAGGCGGCTGCCGAGTGATGGAGCAGAAGGAAGTTTCCAATGGGTTCCGGGACGAAGCTTGTGGCAAGGAGACTCCTGCGGGCTATGCGGGCCTCTGCCAGTAAGTGCTGGCAGGGAGCTTGGTGCTGGGGAGGGGGACAGGAGCGCTGAAGGGGTGTCCAGGCAGTAACATGCGTCTCTGGGAGCAGTGGGTCTTGCAAGGAAGAGGAAAGGGCTTTCTGGGCAAAGGCCTGGATAGGTAGTAGCAAGCAATGCGCACAGGTTGGCATACCTACACAGCCGAGGGTTGTTGATCTTGTTCATCCAAGTATGCCAGTGTTCAGCAAGGTGCCGGGCACAGTCAGTTACCAGTAGCCAAGCAGAAGAACCGATATCTCACCCTCTCATCTCTCAGGGCACACTACAAAGAGTATCTTGTAAGCCTCATCAATGCCCACTCACTGGACCCAGCCACCCTGTATGAGGTAGAGGAGTTGGAGACAGCTGCCGAGCGCTACCTGCACGTGCGCCCGCAGCCACTGGCTGGGGAGGATGCCCCTGCCTACCACGCCCGCCTGTTACAGGTGAAGCTTCCCTCCCAGCTTTGTCTCTGGCCCTGTGCTCTGGAGGTCCCCTATCTACCCTGTGTCTGAGCTCCAGATTCCCAGGATCACCGTCATCTCTTTCTCTCTGCAGAAGCTGATGGAAGAGGTGCCCTTGGGACAGAGTATCTCCCGCAGGAGGAAGTAGCTGAGGGTGAGGGTCCCATGGCCCCACTCCCTCAGGAGCAGCTCCAGCACCAATAAAGAGGCATCTCCTTGCCCAGGCTTCTTGGTGGTCCTTCTTCCTGACCCCACCATCTGGGGGCACCAGGGAAAGAGGGGGGTGTACAGAGCTTTACCGAAAGGGCCCCGTACAGCTCACCAGCTAACCCCCCCTGGACTCAGGATCAGAAAGGAATTGACACCATGGATGGCAAAGGGAGGTCCTCTCTATCCGGCCACTTGGCCCAGGTGGACTTCCTCCCTGCCTACCTCCTTTTCATCAAATTCAGCTGAGATTTGAGGTCGTCTTAATAGATACCAAGCCGGCACTGTGGGGGAACATAGATGCATAGGTGGTACAGGCCTACTTGGAGGCCCTGGGGCCAGACTACAGCACACTGTGGCCTCGCCAGGGAAGCAGCGGTGTCACAGACACGGCTGGACTTAAGGAGTATCGGACGGAGGAAGAAGGAGCCTGAGCTGGAAGGTTCCTCCAGCCGCTGAGATTCTCAAATGCTGCTTCCCCCTGGTGGTCACCTATTGCTTTGCAACTCGGAGGCCACGTGATTTCAGGGAAAAGGCCCTCCCAGGAGGGGAACTGAAACTTAGGGTGGGGACTGTAGAAATAGGGAGGAGTCAACAGGAAGCTCCCTAGCCGGAGCGGAGCTGAGGTCAGCTGAGCCTTGGACTGCCTGCACAGCCGCTCAGGTAAGATCAGCCAGGAATTGGTGGTGGCAGCCTGGGTATAGGGCTAGAAGGGCCGGCCAGATTGGTGGAGGGAGGGTCCTGGGGGCCCCCTTACTAGATGGGAATAGACTGAAGGCCTATGAGCCAGGAAGCAGGAGGTTGGCCAGAGTGAGAGGGCCAACCTGACTGGCCAGGGGCTGTGTCCCAAGCTCTACAGGCAAAGGTCAGGTGCATCTGCTGCCAGGCTGTTCAGGGAAGAAGGCTGTTGACTCCAGTCCGCTCACACTTTTGTTTTCTGGCCTTTTGGCCCTGCCTACATCTGCTGAAGCTCCGCCCCTGCCCCACCTACCCCTAGAGCGAGCAGAGGGTAAGGATGGGGGTCTTAGGAGAGATTGTGGGGGTGGTGGTTGAAGAAGGTTGATGAGGCATCTCAGAAGCAGACACCACCTCTGCAAATGTTTGGGAATGTAGGCTGGGCCTCTCAGCAGGAACAGGCCACCAAGGGCATGCTCTTTTCCAAACGATGGATGCCTGAAAACATCTTAAATTTAAGATGCCTAAGGTTTCCTTCCAGGTGTCACAGCTAGGGGTGTTAAAAAAAACTTTTTTTTTTTTGTAATTGCCAGTGATGGCAGGAACAAAACTATTTGGACTCAGAATTTTGAAATATGTCTGGAGAAGAAAGAGGGATGGGTTCTTTGGGGGGTCCTTGCCAGACAGAATATAACCCAAATGGCCAGAACTTTAGCAGATGTTACCTCCTAAAGTGTTGGTTCTACTGATGCTGCCTGCTGCTCTCATCCCCAGGATGGCATCAGGCAGGGCACGCTGCACCCGAAAGCTCCGGAACTGGGTGGTGGAGCAGGTGGAGAGTGGACAGTTCCCAGGGGTGTGCTGGGAAGATGCAGCTAAGACCATGTTCCGGATTCCCTGGAAGCATGCAGGCAAGCAGGACTTCCGGGAGGACCAGGATGCTGCCTTTTTCAAGGTGAAAGGCCCTGGGAACTGGCCACTCCTTCCGAGTGAAGGATAGAGTTGACACTGGAGCTCCAGGAGTTATGTCTGCTCAGGTGTCAGATAAAGGGGAGATCAGAGGGTTGAGCCAGCTATGTAATTGTCAGAGCCCAGTGCAAGATGAAAATGCAAATGTTAGTAAGGATTTCAAGATGGCGGCAGCCGAGCACGAACCCAGCACAGGCCTTTCTGTGCAAGTGCTCGGGCCGCACATCCATGACGCCGACCCTGGTGGTGTGTCGCTGCAGTCTGTAACATGCTGCTTCTCTTCACTTCTGTCTCCAAGGCCTGGGCAATATTTAAGGGAAAGTATAAGGAGGGGGACACAGAAGGCCCTGCCATCTGGAAGACTCGTCTGCGCTGTGCTCTCAACAAGAGTACTGAGTTTGAGGAGGTTCCTGAGAACAGCCATAGGGACGGGGCTGAGCCCTACAAGGTGTATCGACTGCTGCCACCAGGAACCCTCCCTGGTGAGTGTCCCCTTGCCCACCACTCCTAGAATGAGTCTTCTGGTGGGTGTTGGGACTCCCTACAGGCCCCTTGGTCAGAGTTCTACCTTGTCCCTGTCCTTGGGGAGCTGCTCCCCGGGTTCCCCTGCCCATCCTTTCACTGCCTCCTCTTTCTCCCCTACCCTCCATCCCCACCGAAGGCTCTGACCTTTCCCTCCCACATTCGGCAGCTTCACCAGCAACCCAGAAATCACCATCAAAGAGACACCACAGCTCTGTGAACCCCGAGAGGGAGGAGAACGAAGATACTGTGAAGAACTGTATACTCAGTTCCTCCTTGCTCCAGGACCCCCTCAGAAACGTAAGAGCTGGGAAGGGAACTTTGTGGGCCTGAGGGCAGGACAGTAACTAGGGGGAGAGGAGGCCAACGACAGGCACTATGTCTGCAGGAGGAGGTGGAGGCCAATGGGGGAGCTGGCCATTCAGACTTTGGGAGCAGCAGTAGCAACAGTCCTGAGCCTCAGGAAGGTACCACCTCCCCGGCCTCTTGTCATCGCCCTTGCCACACCCTCTGCCCCTTGAACTCCCCAGTCCCACTCTGAATGACATGCACCTTCTCCCTTTTAGGTGCAGACACAAATGAGGCCGCTTTCCAAGGAGAGCAGGTGTCTCTGGAGCTTCTGCCTCCTCCAGACTCAGGTACTTGGTGTGTCTGGCTTACCCCTACTCCCTGTCCCCACAGGCCATCTCCCTGGGACTATACAGGGCTTGCAGCGACCTGGGCTCACCTTACCCAGGCACAGGCACTGGTTTCCAGGCAGCACACCCGGCCAGACTCCAGACAGCTTGCTTCTCAGAATACCCCCTCTGCATTCTGTTTCCTGGCAATCCACTTTGAGACATTGATTTCTGTGGGTTAAGCAGAGGCCCAATCTCTAGTACCTTCTTGTAAACCATAAGACCCTGGGCATTAAGCCTTGAGGCCCCTGTGGGAATCTGTGTATCAGCAATTCTTCTGAGTGATAGGAAGGTCTGGCAGGAGGTCCCTTGCTGGTGAGGGTGAGGGGCATAAGGAGGAGGGAGGGCGACTTCTGAAACCTCAGAAGGTAGAGCTACTGCCCCCACCCCACAGCCTGCGTTGTCCTCCCCAACCCTTGCTTGGTTTTCCTGTCTAAGCCTCATGTCCCTCAGCAGCAAAATGAGGACACTGGATTTGCAAGGAGCCCCTCTTTGTCTTCCCAGAGTCCCCTGCTGACCAGGTGGGCCTCTGGGGAGAGGCACTTGGTACAGTTGGTTGTTCTCTGTCCACAGACTACTCACTGCTGCTCACCTTCATCTACAATGGGCAGGTGGTGGGCGAGGCCCAGGTGCAGAGCCTGGACTGCCGCCTGGTGGCCGAGCCCTCAGACTCTCAGTGCAGCATGGAACAGGTGGTGTTTCCCAAGCCTGGCCCACAAGAGCCCACCCATCGCCTACTGAGCCAGCTTGAGAAAGGTGTCCTGGTGGCCAGCAACTCCCGAGGCCTCTTCGTGGAGCGCCTTTGCCCCATTCCCATCTCCTGGAGCGCGCCCCAGTCCCCACCTGGTCCAGGCCCACATATGCTGCCTCCCAACAAGTGTGTGGAGCTCTTCAAAACCACCCACTTTTGCAGAGGTGAGGTTCCTGCAGCCCAGCCCCTGAGCCCCTCCCCTCCCCTCAGTCCCCCTGGGCCCTGCCCCCACCATGTGCTCCCTCCAGCAGACCCACCACCACAGCCCATGCATGGCACTCTGCACTTGCCGGGTGCATATCCTGTGCGGCCCTGTGCTCAGCCCTGACAGCTGTCCGACAGCCCTGCTTCCACAGCCCGTGCCACAGAAGACAGGCTCAGGTGGAGCCCAGCACACAAAAGTCACAGCTCAGAGAGCACCGCCACATGGAAGCGTGCAGCCATCATGGGAAGGTGCACCTTGTGGCTCTCTCCTACACACACACTGGCACACGCACCCATCCACATCTTCAGGGGAGCTGGCACTCATCACACATCCTGGCCCTGCCATACTCCAGGTGTCCTCTCAGGTCACCCTGTCCCATCCACACTTGGAATTCCACCTCCTGCCTCCACTCAACTCTAAACTTGGCCTTGGAGCAGGGGCCAGGAGTACAGAGGATGTAGAGCATGAGTGTTCCCAGGGCCATCGGTGCCCCAGCTTAGAGAGGATAGCATGAGCAAGCGACCAAGGTGTGGCCATGTCTGAGTTAACAGGGCTGCTGCTGAGGACTCTAAACTCTCCCAGCAGAGAGCATGTCAGGCTGTGTAACAGCTGGCTACCGCTAAATACAGTACTTCCTACTGGAGGAGGGAGTGCTTTTCCCCTTCTGCATGCGGGCGAGTAGCCACTTAGCCCCTAGAATTTCTCCTCACACAGGGCAGCAGCCTTGCGATCCTGCAGCTCATCCCCTGGCTTTGGTCTCCGAGAGGCCTCACTGCCACCTCTCTTTCTCCTCCCTCCCTGTCTGTGGCCCTCTCCTGTCTTTTTTCTTTTCCTCCAACCTTTGACCCTTTCTCTTTCAGACTTGCAGAGGTACTTCCAGGGCCTGGGCCCCCAACCCAAGTTCCAGGTGACACTGAATTTCTTAGAGGAGGACCCTAGCCCCAACCACACCCCACAGAGTCTTATCTCAGTGCAGGTAAGTTCAGGGCAGGGTAAGAAAAGCTGCCTAGCCCTGACTGGTGTGGCTCAGTTGGTTGGGTGTCATACTGCAAGGTGAAAGGTCCACCAGTTCCTGGTCAGGGCACGTGCCTAGGATGCGGGTTCAGGGGTGCAAACGAGAGGCAATTAATTGATCTTTCTCTCCCTCTTTCCCCCTCCCTTCCCCATTCTCTAAAAATACATACATATATACATACATACATACATAAAGAATAGCTGCCTATTCAGGCAAGGGGGTTCCAGGAGGAGAAGGGCCTGCCGGGGTGGGATGGGGGTAGTGCCTTGCCTGTTGTGCTCATGATACCCTCTCCCCCCACTTCCTGGACAGATGGAGCAGGCCTTTGCCCGGCAATTACTGCAGGAGACTCCAGAGGACCAGGCAGCCACTCTGTCCCTGGTGCAGAGCCTGGGGGACCTACCTTCCTCCTCTCCACTCTGTTCTTCCTATTTCCTTTGAAGGAGACTCATTCTCCACATTACTGACCTGCCTCCCTCAGTGATAATTCTTAGTGGTTGTCTGTGATGGTTATGTCCTTGAACTCCTCATGCTATCTGGCTGGTTTTTATCTTTTTTAAAAAAATTTGTTTGTTTTTGTTTTGTTTTGTTTTCAGATATACCCTCTTTTATCTCTGAGGAACTGAACTGGGAAATGGTGTGAACTCAGGGGGACAGACATTTCCTTTTCCCCCAACCCTAAAGCCACGCACTTTATATTTCTTTTTAAATCTTCACTAAGGATTTAAAATAAAACTGTATTGAAAAAGGAATCAGTATCTGATTTGTGGGAAGAATAAGGCAGCAGAGGTCACAGGGAGATAACAGATGTAGCTCGAGAGCAGGGCACTTGGGCTCTTTTCCTGCTCACATCCCCGGGCCCCTTTCCTCTCCGCCCACAGGTTCTGGTGAGGAAGCAGCAGCAGGCTGGGCACTGCAGATTTTGGGCCTGGCTCTCTGTACCCTGTATGCAACCAGGACTAGGGTCAGGGTCAGCCACCAAGAGGGGCACAGCTTACAGCCACTGTAGCCACCGACTTCAGCCACCAACTTACAGCCACTGTAGCCACCAACTTCACATGGGAAGATCCGGACTCCAGTTCTTTGTCAGAGGCGTCTGATTTGGGCCTTCACAAAAGGCCTAGGGTAGGACCCTAGATTGGAGGTCTGAATGAACAGAAGAACTTGAAATCAACCTGAAACCGTGGGCTAGAGGCCCTGGGGTCTGCTGGATCTTTTGTGCCCGGGGCAGACCAAGCCCTGGTGCCCTGTCACCTCCACTGGAGGGTACTCCCAAACTGGTTTCCTCACTCTGCCTGAGCCCCACAAGACAAGCTGGCCTAGGATGCCATGTCCCCAACACTGTCCAGAGCTTTGAGGGGTCGAAATCAGCTGACACTGCTCTCCCTCACCTGTGTTTATTTTGCCACCCAACTGGAAATTTTTTCTTCACAAGGCCACTTGTCATCCTTCCTCTCTGTAAGTTTAATTCCAGCAGAATAACTCAGACTTAAGCCACCTGACGACCATGGCCTCCAGCTTCCCCCTTCCTGTACATAATACCAGGTTAGAGGAGAAGGGGCCTCCCAGACCAGACTCCTTCCTGTCATGTCACCCTTATAAGCCTTCAGTGGCTGGTGAATTACCTACATGGTCAAGTCTAGATATGTAGATCCTCAAGGATCTTCTTGCTTTAGGGCTATTTGAACCTTTCTTCCTCCTCAGGCCTGCCTTCTCTTCCGTCTTTCCTACCCTCCTCCAGGAACCTACACGGGCATCTGCTCTGGCAGTGACGAAATCAGGTACTGCGTGCACAGGTGCACAGCCCCGTTGTGCCCTCCATTTGCTGAAATCCCTCCTGGGCCTTTGTACTCGCTACCTCTTTGACTTCATTTGTCTCGTACCCCACATGCAGTCCACCAGCCAGTCCTGCCACTGCCCCTTCAGAAGCTACCCAGACTCTCACCACCTCTCCTTGCCTCCACCAGCAGCACCTCGGAACAAGTCACCATCATCTCTCACACTTTTTCTTCCTGCTTCGTTCTCCATCTTCTTTTCTGCTTTCTCTCTTTCCACCTTCAGCCTATTCTCAATACAGTGGAGGTCCTCTTAACACATAAATCTCATTATGTCACTCCTGCTCAAAACCCCCCATTGCCTTTCACCTCAGGTTAAAAGCCCAAGTCCTTACAATGGCCTCCACAGTCCTTATGATGTGCCCACTATCCTCTCTAACCTCACCCCTTGTCATTCTCCTCAGTAACTTTGCTCCAGGCTTCTTGCACCCACCGCACACATATCTGCCCCAGGACCTTTACAGTTGCTGATTCTTTTGTCTAAAATACTCTTGCTTCAGGTAGGCACGTGACTTGTCCCCTTTCTTCCCTGAGTTCCCTACCTAACTAGCAGTCCTTGCTACTCTATTCTATGCTGCCTCATTTTCCTTCATAGCACTGACCGCTTCATATATTTCCACTTGTGTACTAGTTTATCTCCTCTCCTTCCTTACTCCATGAGAACAGGGACTTGCTCTGTTTGTTACTATATCCCTAGTGCCTAGAGTGGTGCCTGGCACATTGCACGAATGTAATAAATAGTTGATGAATGAATTAACAAATTATCTCCCATACTAGGTTCTAGGCATCTGAAGGGTGGATGCCCCATTTTATCATCTTTGTGTCCCAGTTTGAACATTGACAGCTTATGGACAGTGATGGAAACAACTGTATTTTGTAGAAGCCAATTCAGCCAAACACAGTGAAATGGGGATTGGGAACACTGAAATTCAAGAGATCAGAGTTCCAACCAGGCTGTCACTAAAAGCTGTGTGGTCCAGGAGAAAGAGTCTGTATGGGCCTTCATTTTCTCATTCTGCAAAGGCCAGGTTTGCACTAGATTTTAGCCTTGACATTCTCATTTTGTGGTTATAAGTTTAGTGTAATTGCATAGTCATTTGACAAATATTTACTGAATTAGGTTCCAGGCTCTAATTGAAAACACAAGACCCCAATCTCAAGAGCTCTCAAATTGAAAGAACAAAATAAAATAGGATCAGCTGGGCTGCAATGAGAACTGAGTCTTAAAAAGACTCAGCATGCCCTGGAGTTGAGGCTGGGAAGGTCATCTAGACTAAAGAAATGGTTGAGCAAAGAAAGGCAGGAGGCATGGAGACAGGTAAGTTTGTAACCAGAACATAACTTAATTTTACATGCATAATTGTTAGAGACAAACGGCTTTTAGATGCTGAGAATATATCCTGCATCCAAAAAGCTAAAATCTGTTTCAGCCAGGAGAACATTCACAACTGGAAAACAGGCAGATCAGGCATGCCCACAACCTAAACTGATCAAGTTTGGGAAATGACCAGGCAAGTCCCCTGTTACTTCCTGTGAGATCTGTCTTTTCCCCCATCCACCTCTGGTGGCTCTCAGGCCCCCTCACACTGTTTCTACCTGCCCAGCTCAAGGTAGACCCAAAGCTGGCACAAAGACAGACCAAACAATTGCTACCTGGTAGGTTTTGGTTGGGGGTAGGGCAAGGTCTAGCCGCAAGTCAGGCGCCTGTACAGGACCAAGGCCTTTGCCCCAGACTTGACCCCACTGGGTGAAATGCCCTTGTTGCCAGGGTGGATGAAGAAAAGGCTGGGATTTGCTCCCCGCTCATTGGTCGGCAGAGAAGCGTCTCCAAGAAACCCTTGCTACCAAGGGAACAAGACCCTATTGGTCAGGACACCTCACAATTGCCCAGGAGCGCGCAGGGTTCTGCCGATTGGTTCGTTCCTCCCTTACTCGGCTCAGGGTGTATGTATGTGTGTGTGGGTGTGTGTCTGTGTGTTGGGGCTGGGGGGAGAGTGGCCTATCTCCTAGACTCCTGGCAGGCAGCTTGGCGCCTGGAACCAGCTCAGCTTGGCATACACCCCTGTTCCCATTAGCTGTTCTGGGGGCCACCCTCTGCTGCTGAGGAGCGGGGCACAGAGTACCCAAGTGCATGCTCCCCGCGGCGGGATCTAGGCCCGCAAGGGGGCGACTGGGTGAGACTGTCGCTGCTCAAGCTGAGAGCAAAGGCCCAGAGCCAGACATCTTTGCGCAGGGCCTTCACGATCGGGGCCTGGTCTGGACCACCACCAGTACTCTCCTCAGGAGCTCTGCATCTCCAACCTGCTCCCGTAAGTTCGAAGCACCGACATGGTGTGAGAACCCTTCAAGGACTGACGCCTTACTTGTCCCCTAAATCATTTATCCGCCACATGTTTATCTGCTCGTTTATTTGCTCTGGATCCATTCTGGGTCCATCCGCTGCCCCACCTGTCCAAATCCTTACTTCTCTCCAGCGGTGCCGGTGCCAGTGCATCTGGTGTCCTAAAGAATTCGGATTGATATCCGAACACAGGAGTGGTAGACGACGAGAGGGTGAAACCTTGGAGGGACGATGTTCTACTATCCCAATGTGCTTCAGCGCCACACCGGCTGCTTTGCCACCATTTGGTAAAAGCTGGCTGGGCCAGGGTGGGTGAGCTGGGAGGGGTGCCCCAAGATCCCCGCCTGACAGCTCCCCGCCCCCATCCCCCACTCGCACCCCGTCCAGGCTGGCAGCAACTCGTGGCAGCCGGTTGGTGAAGCGTGAATACCTGAAGGTGAATGTGGTGAAGACCTGGTAAGGCCCAGAAAATGAACCTGGGGCTGGTGTAGGTTAGGGGTGGATTAGGGAGGCAAGGTTGTGGGGCTGGCTCTCCGCGCAGGCTTGGTGGTGATTGGGGCACATTGTTCTCCTAGTGAGGAAATCCTCAGTTACGTGCTGGTACAAGTGGAACCCCCGCAGCCCGGTCTGCCGCGCCCCCGCTTCTCTCTCTATCTCTCAGCCCAGCTCCAGATCGGCGTGATCCGGGTCTACTCACAACAATGCCAGTACCTCGTAGGTAAGACTGAGAAGGCTCTGCGAGGTGGGGCAGAGCTGGGTGACCCTCGGCTAGGCTGGCTCTCCCCATTTTGTACTCTCTGCCCACAGAGGACATTCAGCACATCTTGGAGCGCCTGCATCGTGCCCAGTTGCAGATCCGCATAGATATGGTGGACACTGACCTGTGAGTGTCCCCCTGGGCCTGGACCACCCAGCCTTTGCTGGGGAACCTCCCTGCTTGGTGTCTGCTCATCTCAGCCTCAGACCTTGACAGCCACATTCTTTCTCAGACCCAGCCTGTTGCTTCCTAACCGCCTGGACATGATGGAGATCCTGGAAGATGCTCCAGACCCCTTTTTTGGGATGATGTCTGTGGATCCCAGACTTCCCAGCCCCTTCCACATACCTCAGGTGGGGCTCATTCCTCCGGGACACCTCAGACTGATTGATGGGCTGACAGTACAGAAGGGAGTGCTATTCCTGCACCAGTCTGACACTGGGGTGAGGGCAGGGAGCTGCCACAGATCTGTCCCACAAGAGTCAGTGCTGCAGGACTGTTATGATGGACCAATCCAAACAAACCTGCTCCATTTACTTACTCCAGACCAGCCTAGAGGCTCTTCTTGTCCCCACTCATCTCCACTCTGTTCCAAGGCTCTAATCCAGGCCCTCAATATCTATCCTCAGCACTAGGTTTTCCTACCCATGTCCTTCTCCATCCATTCCTGACACCTATGCAACGTAGACACTATGTTATTCCCTTCCTTCAAAGACACCTCCAGCAGCTCCCCACTGCAAACAGAATACTAACATTTAGGAATCTCGAACACACCAGTCTAACCCCTGGTCCCAAAGATGCCACATTCAGTTCTTTGCTTGATCAGCCCATTAGGTCACCCCTTGTTCTTTACTAGTCAGATTCTACATATCCTTACAGACTTCACTCAAATGCTACCCTTTTCCATGAAGTTTCTATCCCACTCCTGGCCAAAACCAAATATTGTTCTGGATCTCAGCACACAGGGCTTTGTTTTAGCCTGTGTGTTGACACTTGCTAGGGTCATATACAAACTTGTCTCCTCACTAAACCAAACGCTCCTTAAGATCAAGAATCCTTTCTTTTCCCTCAACACTTGACACATGGATGCAGAGCTTCTTGCACAAGTTGTCAAAGGTTACATAACTGGTGTGTTGGGGTGATGGGGTCTATGAGGGCAGGAATGGGAGACCCGATGGCAAGTGAGTTCACTGCATGCTAATACCAGAATTAGGCATAAGGGGTATTAGAGTCCATTGTGCAAGACTGCAAAGTGGGAAAGCAAGGGACTGAAGCTGAAACCTATTTTTGTCCCCAAAGATTCGGCACCTTTTGGAGACTGTGACCCCAGAGAGAGTTCCTGAGAAGATCCCTCCTGAAGTCCCTACAGAGCCAGAGAAGCCGGGTGAGCAGAGGCCCTTCCTTCTGGCGAGAGGCATAGGAAGCTCTGACAGCTGAAGAAATAACCAGCTTTGAGCTGCTCTTAGGAGCCAGGCCCTGTGAGGGGCACTTTATGTGTGTAACCTCATCACTGCCTTGAAAGAGTCCTGTGAGATCAGAACCCCCATCCCCATCTCACAGGGGAGAAAAGTGAAGTCCGTAGTGGTTAAGCAGCATATCCAGGGTCAAATGGCTAGCGACTGGCCTGAGCCTGACTGGAACCCAGATTGACTGGACTCCAAAATCCATGCTTTTGCTTCATGTGGGTGTGGGAACTTGAAAAGAGATGGAGGGGCTGGTATGACTTCCCTGCCCCTTCAGACAGGATCCCGGTCACTGTCCTGCCTCCAGAGGCCATCACACTCCAGGAGGCAGAGCCCATACGCATGCTGCCAATTGAAGTGAGTTGTCCCCGCATAGACTGAGGCGGGAGTCCTGCTGCTGACAGCCCAGGCCCCCTTGTATCTACTCTGCCTTCTCTGTCTCCATTTCCCCTCTCCCTGCCTCTGGCACTTGAGCACCCACTGGGCTTCCTTGGCCTGGCCCTGGGGCGTGCTTCTCAGACTCATTCTCCTGGATCCACTTCGTTTTTTCGGAAATGGAAGGAGTCCCCTCTCCTTGTCCTTCGTCTTACAACAGGGTGAACCAGACCTCCCAGAGATTAGCCGTCGAGACCTGGACCTGCTCATTGCTGAGCCAGATGAAGCTATCTTGTTGGAGGAAAAAGGCAGGCCTGTCCGGCAGTATGGGGCCTGCCTGTCGCTGGACAGTCAGGCCCCGGGCATGGGCAGTCTGGGCTTGGGCTGCTCTTCATCTCTTTTCTTCCGTGCGCTGAACCCTGATCCTCTCTCTCTGCAGTGTCCAGGGAAGAACCCCGGGCCCCAGAAATGGAAATTGCAGTTCCCTCACTGTCACCTCCAGCTCTTCCACAGTAAGGACAGGAACTGCTGAGTCAAGTAGGGGGTTGGTGCTGGAATAAGTGGTCTCATCTTTCTTGCTCATTTTCCCTTAGGGTGGAAGGAGTAGCAGAGCTACTCCCAGGCCCAGTCCTGGCCCCAGAGGAGGAGAAGCCAGCAGTCTGGGAGCCTGAGGTCCCACTTGCTGGTGAGGAGCCCCCATGCCTGGATCCTTCCTGGGGGCATCTGCACAGCTGCTGCAGACAAGGGCCCTGTATACCCACATGCTAAAGACAGAACCCCCTCTATCTTCTTGCTCTGGGTGGCTCTGAGGGTGGAGGGTGTGAGGCGGCGGCAGGACCTAAGTGTGTTATTGCAGAGGTGACACCCCCACTCCCGGAGGAGCTGCGTCTCCCAGCCCCACCCAGCCCAGAGGTGAGTAGTAGCCCCTCCAAGCCTTCTCTTCACTCTCCTCACCCATATTAAACTTCCCCAAGCCCCAGGCCACTGCTAGCCTACACAAGCCTTCGTGCAAATTAGTAAAAGGTGCCCCTGCCCATACTACCATTTAACCAGCTGAACTTCCAGATGGGTATGCCCCTGCAGGGGTAGGAGTATGCCCCTACAGGGTAGGAGCTGCACATGCTCCTGGAGGGCCTGTCCAAGCCCTTTCCTCTGTGGTGACAATGCAGGGCCTGTTTGCAGTCCCTCAGGATGTCAGGAAAAGGAGTAACTGGTAGCCTTGCCCCCACCTCCCCTCCTCACTCAACAGAGGAGGCCCCCAGCTGTTCCACCTGTTCGCCGTCGTGGTCGCCGCCGCCAGTTACTGTTCTGGGACAAGGAGACTCAGATCTCCCGGGAGGATTTCCAGAAACAACTGCAAACCAGAGCTCACTGCTGGGAGTGTGTAAGTACAGCCCAGGCTTTGCAGGGAGACAGGGAGGGCCCAGAGCAGGTATATACTAGGCCTTGTAAACTGGGGAGGCACTGGGAACATCCCCTAAGTGCATGCCCTGGGGGGGTCTGCATATACATAATGCTCCATGCTCCTTCAGAGACCCTGCCCAGCACATCTACTGGCACCAGTTACAAGTCCTACTTTTAGCAATGAGCACAGCAGGCACAGGCGTGTGCCTGGAAGGGTTGGAAGGCCAGAGGCCTGGAACAAGGCCTTGCAGAGGTGATGGGGCAGTGCAGTGACTTCCTCTTAACTGGGCTCTGCCTTCCCTCCTACGCAGCCAATGGTGCAGCCCCCAGAGAGGACCATCAGAAGCCCCACGGAGCTCTTCCAAACCCCAACTTACTGTAAGAAGAGTGGTGGGAGTTGGCATATGGGGTCCTCTAACCCCATATTCCTCACTCTTGGCATTCCTCATGCCTCAACCCTGTCCCTGTCGCCACCTTGTCCCCACTCAGCTGGCTGGCTACCCCCAGAGCTGATGGCTGTCTGGACCCACTGTGCTCAGCCACCCCCAAGAGCACTTAGGCGAATGCCACCCCCGGAGCCCGAAGAGGAGGCTATGAGGGAGGCAGCAGCTGAAGAGGAAAGGAGAAAGATGGAAATTCCGAGTGATATCGAGGTAACTGCAGCCCCTCTCCTTCCCGAAGGACCTATTTCCCTCGAGTTCCGGCACTCTGTCTTCTGCCCGTGTGAGCCAATGGCATCAGGTCCTGTCTGACAGCCTAGGCTGGTTCAGGGTGGGGACCATTTCACTCCCGTCCCAAGTGCTTCTGTGATGTTGATGTCATCATTCTCTTTCACTCCCAGGTCCTGAGGGAGGCCCAGGAGCCCAGTGGGCCCCTTATGGTGTCCTCAGGTAAGCTTCTGAGGAAGGGGCGGTAAAGACCACCACCCTAACCACTGTCCCAGGAAACTGGTACCTCAACTGCTGACAGCTCGACAGAGGGAGTGTTTAACACAGAAAGCACACATCAGTTCTCTTCAGTTCTCCCTCCTGGGTGCTTGTCACAAGTCAATGCCCAGCGCTGGCATCCAGTCTGAATAGGTCCCAACTGCTGAGATCCAAGCAGATTGGATCAGGACCTCCCCCTCCCCCAACAGAGCTCTCCATAGAAGCAGCTGAGGAAGAGAAGACCCAGATCAGCCTCATTCCCCCAGAAGAGCGGTGGTAAGCAATCAGCCTGGGTGAGCTCAGGCAGCAGCCCTGGCCAGGTGGGGCAGTGGCTAGGATGTGTATGTCCCTGGTCACCATCACAGCTGCCACTTCCCTTCCCTATCTGCCTCCCACGTTCCCCCAGGGCCTGGGCTGAGGTGGAGCAGCCAGAGCCCCCTGCACTGCCCGTGGTGCCCGAACTCCCTGAAGTGCCCATGGAGATGCCTTTGGAGCTGCCTCTGGAGCCCGAGCTGCTCTCACTCCAGGCTGTGCACAGGTACCAGGGAGGGGGTGCCTCAACATGGTGGGCCCAGCATGGGGCCTTAGCTAATGGTTCTTGACCCCTACAGGGCAGTAGCACTGGAGCTGCAGGCCAACAGGGAGCCGGATTTCAGCAGCCTGGTGCCACCTCTAAGCCCTCGCAGGATGGCTGCCCGAGTCTTCTACTTGCTCCTGGGTGAGTGCGGGCATGTGTAGGGGGACACACAGACCAGAGGCCACTGTAGGAACTCCCCCTGACCAGCCCACTCTTCCTGTCTTGACAGTGTTGGCAGCCCAGCAGATCCTACGCATGGAACAAGAGAAGCCATACGGGCGCCTTCTGATCCAGCCGGGGCCCCGATTCCACTCTGGTTAGATCCGGTATAAGAGCTGCCAAGAAACCAGCTACCTTAACCCACCTATCACCTCCTGCCTTACTAGGCCCAGCCTGCCTCCTTTCTGGACATGAATTTCTATCTCTGCTCTCAGAGCTACTGTTTAAAGCAGAAAATGAACTGCCTTTATTACAGTATGTTGTCATGACTCCATTTGTATTGTCCCATAGCATAACAGATCCAGCCCCAGGGACAGCAGCCCCATAGGAAGCAAGCAGGGCTGGGTCTCCAGAATCTTTGGTAAGGCAGGAGGAGGAACCGGGCTGAGTGGTGGTCTTGGGGCCTGGTCAGGCTGTTCTCTCTGGCCTGGCTGCAGCCCAGTTTAGGTGAGGCCCAGGATGGCCTGGAGCTCCAGAGCTTGGTCTCCAGGTAGTGAGCCCAGTGCCGAATGGAAGCTATCGGTGTGCTGTTTGGCTAAGAATGTCAGGAGCAGCAGCAATGCAGCCTTGGTGTCTGGGTGGGGTGAGGAGAGAGAGAGAGATCCAGGGAGGACTGGCCCCCAACCCCTAGTTGCTCCAGGCCCTCTGAGCTACACTGCTCCTTGCCTCCCCCAGCCCAGCCCATGACAGCCACCTTTACCTGGTGGGATCTTGTCGTCAGTCTGAATGAGGCTGCAGATGCGCAGGAGCTCAGGAGCTGTATCTACCACCTGTGGGAAAAGACAGGCTGACTTGGGCAGCAGCAGCCCTGTGCCCTTTAGGACTGTGGTGGGTAGTAGGGGTCAAGGAGAGGCAGAGTCTCCCACTAGGGCTGTTATAGCCTGATACTAATTCACATGAATCTAAAATAATTGTGAAACATGAGAAGGACCCCTGAAACACCATGATGATAATTTTTTAGGCATAGTGGGAGAGGACAGGGGATTGTGACCAAAGGTGTGACTGAAGTCATGATCTTAAGATCAAAATCCCAGACACCCAGGAGCACCACCATAAAGGTGCATGACAAAGGTGAAAAACAGAGGAACACAGGGGTATCAGTCCAAACCTAGCCACTTGGTGCAGTCAAACCCAATAGAAAAACTGTTTTGATTGTAATTGATGGTAGATGAGGTGGCCACACCTGTACCCAGGCTCCATGAAGCACAGCCTGAAAGAACCCTCATCTAGGATATCAGCTTAGGAAAGCTGAGACTTCTGGTTCAGACCGGGGGATACACATGGCCAGACAGGATGGAGGTCCCTTTCAAAAAATGCTATGTGGTGAGAGAAAGGCCTTTTTCTCACATGATAGGCCTGGCTGCCAATCCTTGCAGACCAGTAAGAAAGCAGAGTACGAAGTGTCAAAGGGCAGCTTAAACCGTCAGTCTGCATCAGCTATAACTGATGCCAACTCTGCCTGTCTCTGAGAAGGGAGCATTAATCTCCCGAGAGCTCCAGCATGGAGGTTACCTGGTCAGGGGTGCTTTGGTACAGGAAGCTGAAGAGGCGCCCTATGGTGACCCACTCCTCCAAGTCCTCCTTTAGTGGCAGAGCGTGCAGCAGGGCAGCCAGAACCTGGACATACAGATGGCTCTGGTCTGCCCTGTCCTCTCCTTAGCTTCCAAGCACTGTCTCATATCCCCATCCCTCACCTGGGGCTCTGGTTTCCTCGTGGGACTGGCCATCAGTAGGCGAGCGAGTGCCCCACAGATGTTGTCATGGACACGATCATGGCGCTCCCGTGCCAGCAGGGGCAGCAGGAGTCCCACTAGCTTGGAAAAGTGTCTGGTCCACAGTAAAGGAAAAGGCACTCTCCCATCCCTGAGCCCAGGGACACTTTCCCAATCCCACCCCAGCCACTCTTGCAAGCCGAGGATACTCCTGGGCAGGGCGGCCCCCGTGCTCGGCCAGCACGCCCAGCCCGAAGATGGCATTGCTCCGCACTTCGGGGTCTGCCTCCCGGGTGGCGCTCAGCAGCACGGGGAGCAGACGGGACACAAACTGGGCGGAGGCAGCACCCAGACCCTGAATGCACTCTGCTAGTGTGCCCACCGCAAAAGACTTCTCTGCCACCGTGCAGCCCTGTTTCTGGAATGGAGAGGAGTGCAAGTCAGCCTGGGACTAGGACAGAGTGGGGGGCTGGGGTTTGGGTGGAATGGGGTTTGAAGTCAGGTGATGAACACTCACTGTCTTACACAGCAGTAATGGCAAGAACCCAGCAAAGAAGGGGGCAAAAACATCTCCCCCGGCTGCGGCTGCCAGGGCAGGAATGGCCTCGCCGGCGTACTCTAGCAGCATGGCGTCATATTCAGCCTGTGGGGCCAGATCAGGGGCTGGAGCACCAGCACCAGCTGTGACTGTGGCACCTCCCAACATGCTCCTCCACTGCCAAAGGTTCCCGTGAGGCCTGCCCTTGGTGACAGGACTGGCACCTCTCAGGCTGGGCTTGTTTGTAGTCCAGCTTTTTCTTCTGGCCCTCCTACTCCCACCTATCAATCCAAGCCCATCCTGAGTCCACACCTTGAGGAAGCCTTCTCTGAACCCTATCTGCCTGAGTGGGAGCATGGCTGTATCATTCAAAGTCATTACCGATCTATTAGCAGCCCTGGCTCGCCTAGGCCAAGCCCAAGTGCACTGTCCGCCCTGCCCTGTGGAGAATACCAGACACACTGCCTGGTCCCGGAGTTTGCATCCATGCTCTCACCTGGTCCTCCTCCTCCTCCTCCTCCTCTTCAGTGTCCTGACAGGCTGTCTGCAGGAAGAGGTAGGTCAGCTCAGCCTGGGCTCTCCTGCCCCTTCTCCTCTCCGTGGGGTGGGGATATGGGAGAACTGGACTTGTAGCCTCTGACCATCCCCACCTGGGGCCTGCAGTGCACCTGCCCCGCTCACCTTCCTCTGCAGCACAGCCTTGAGCATGTTGCAGAGCTCAGCCAGGCGCCCAGGGGGCTGCAGTGTGAGGGTCCCACAGCTGCGCAGCACCCCTGTCAGGGCCTCCAGCACTGCCATCACCACTTGGCGCTCCCGCTCCCTGTATACCGCCTGCATGTAGGATGGCACCACCTGGGCCAGGGTGGCCTGCAGAGCTGGGGACATGATTGGCTGATGTCCTGGTCAGGCCCTGCCCCTCTCCCATGCACCGCCTGGCCCAGAGGTACCTGCCCCACCCCAGTGCCCTTCTCACCAGCCGTGCTGGGCTCTGAGGGACAGCTCTGACAGGCTTTGTGCAGTGCGCAGCATAACTGACCCAGGGCCTCGTGGGCTGCCTTGCGCACATTCAGGTGCGGGCACTGCAGGATGAAGAGGAATGGAATGTGCCTCCTCTGCACAGGGTGAACACAGGGCCCCTGATCCTTGAACCTCACCACTCCACGGACCATGCACTCACCTCCAGAAGTTTGAATACTTCTTCAAAGACACTCTCCATGTAGGGAAGAAAGGCCACACTATGAACAGACACAAGGCCATGAAGAAGCTCCCAGGCAGGGTTCCCAGTGCCAGGTGGGGAAGGGCTGATGCTCACCTGGCATTCACAGAGATTTCCCCCAGGGCAGCGCAGGTGTCTTCCTTCTCATCGAAAAAGGCGTTCTCCACACTGTACCTGGAGTGAGGTGGGGGTAGCCGCAATCAGGCGCCAGCCAGAGCAAGTCTGGCACTGGGCCTTTGTCCACCACTAGGGTCCCTCTAACCATGCCTATGATGGCACCCCTCCGCACCCTGAGATCTCTGAGTCATCCTCCTCTTCCTCGTCCTCATCCATGAGCTCTTCCTCTTCCTCCCCATCACTCTCATCATCAAACAGAAGGAAAGAGCTGCTGCCGTCGTACTGAGGCTGGACAGTGGAGGCAGAGTGCAGACTCTGGCTCAGCTGTGATGGGAGGATAAATCCCACACCAGGGCTGGCCTTCTGCACTGCCCAGCCCACCTCCTCTCTGCTCACCACAATGCCCTCGGTGGAACGCAGTGACAACAGCATGAGTGTGGTGATTTGTGGCAGGTAAGGTGCCAGGGCCTCACCCATCAGCCCCGATAAGGCTGCAAACAGGCTGTACCTGGCGGAGGCAGATGGAAGCTGTAGAGTTTGGGCTATGATAGCCAGACAGGATGGGGGAGCCAGGGAAACCTATGGTCCAGAACCAAGGACTGAGGGCTGGAATGGGGAGAAGTGGGGGCTCACTCACGTGCAGCGCCGCAAGTCAGGGTCGTCTACCTGGTTGCACAAGCCCAGCCCCAGCTGGCAGCATTCCTCAGCCAGGGGCCTCATGGGCTCCCCCACTGCTCGTGCCAGCACCCCCAGTGTCTCTGTGGGGGCAAAGACTCCGGTCAGCACTGGGAAGTGGAACTGGGCCAGAAGAATGCAGGGCCAAGACCTGGGGACCAAAGGTGGCAGCTGGAGAAACCCCACCTACTCCTAGGTGCAGTGGGAACACGTTCTTTGGTGAGAAGGAAGACACCTGCGCCGCCCTGGGGAAGGTCTCTGTGAACGCCAGGTGAGCACCAGCCCTTCCCTGGCACTGGGAACCCTGCCTGGGAGCCCCTTCCTTACCCAGGCTCTGGATCCGCACAGGCTGAAGGTCCTCATGGCCTGCCACCAGGAACTCCCGCAGGTGCTCCATGATGGCAGGAAAGTAGGGCAGCAGGGAGGCCTGGGCAGCTGTGGCTGCAGGACAGAACCAACTGTGGGTAGATGGGTACTAGGCTTTCTGGGTGAACCCCATGCCCTGCCTCCTGCCCCTTTCTCCTCACCAATGGCCCCCAGGGCGCTCACAGCCAGCTCTTTGGCCTGGGGACTGCTGGGATTCCTCAGAGGTTGCAGCATACACTCCATAAGCTCCGGAAGGTAGGGCTGCACTTTAGGTCCTGTGGGAAAGGGTGCCCGTCTAACCAGCAACCCAGGTCTCTACATTCTAAGGGTCCACCACATGTCTCCAGGCTGACGGAGGCATGATGCTTCTTGTGGCCCCACCACACCCTCCTCCCGACCACAGGCAGTGGTTCAAAAGTTGCAGCCAAAGCTACAGCTTTGTGCCCTCCCTTGCACCCTCAACTGCCTTTACTACCTAGGTTCTCCACGAAATTCTCCAGGGCATAGCAGGCCTTGGCTAGGTGCTGTGTGTGCCTGGGAGGCACTGACTTCAAGTAGGCAAGGAGCAGTGGCATCACCTCCCCTGAATAGCTGCTGATATGAGGCTGTGGGAGAGAGTGGATCTTGAGTC